TGCCCCGACACGCCCCCCCCAGACTCCCACCCCTCTGCTCTTCTCCCCTGACTAACCCCTCCTGACGACCCCCCATCCTAACTGCCCCGCTAGGACCCCTACCCCCTCGTCCCCTGACTCGCCCAAAACTTTATCCCACCACCCTGCCCCCTGACAGCCCCCCCCAGAACTCCAGACCCATCCAACCCTCCCCCTGCTCCCTGTCTCTTGACTTCCCCCTCCAGAACCCCCCTGCCCCTTCTCCGACCCCCTGGCCCCCTTACTGTGCCGCTCAGAACAGCGTGTTGGGCTCCACGCAGAGCCCGACAAGCTGCTGTGCTCCCCCACGGAGCGCATAGCCTGGTTCTCGCCCTCGCAGAGTGCTGCGGAGCGGCACGCTGGGCAGCAGGGGAGGGGGAGCAGGGGGAGGAGCTCCAGACTGCTGGAGGCCCGATGCGAATGGCCGGCGATCTGCGAGGGGGAGGGGGAGGGAGGGAGAGAGAGAAGGGGAGTGATCCGAAGCTGCAGGGGAGAAGAGGGGGGAAGCGGAGGAGGGGCTCTGGCTGCCAGAGCCCCGTGCAAGTGGCTCGATCTGGCAGGCTGCCCTGCCAGCCGTGCCGCGCTCTGCATGGGGGGAATCTGGACATTGACAAATTTCCCCCGGACGCTATTTTTAAACTCAAAAAGCCGGACATGTCCGGGAGAATCCAGACGAATGGTAACCCTAACCCCTATCTGTAATGGACAAATGGATATTCTCAAAAGAAAAAAAAAAAGATATAGAACTTCAGAAAATTTCAGAAGAACAAGCATTTCTAGATTTAGCATTTCTTACTTGTACATATTTAGTGACTGACAGTAAGCAATGCTATATAGGGTACGTCAACATTTGCAGCAGCATGTAGAGTACAGGCACTGGACGCCCAGCTAGCACAGGTATAAACAGCGGTGAAGATGGTGAGACACTGCTTAGGTGAGTAGAGTACAGACATGCCAGAACTCTAGTGTATATAGCCTGCATAGCTCTCTACATGCCCAAGCAGGGCCTCCCATGTCTGCACTATTTTTAGCAGTGTAGGGTCCTGCTGCCTCCCTGTTGCAGTAAAAGATTCCAGCATCAGGGAGCTGCTGGAGCCTTTCCCTGCCTCAGTGAAAGACTCCACTGCCTCCTCCCACTAAAAGTCTTTCATTGTGGTGTGTAGTTACATATACTCTATATGTCGCTGCAAGCATAGACAAGGCCATAAACTAAGCACAAATGATCACATTTTGATGGAATTCTCAAGGCCAATGGTTCTCAACCTTTCTAGATTACTATACCACTTTCAGGAGTCTGATTTGTCTTGCGTACCCCCAAGTTTCACCTCACTTAAAAACTACTTGCTTACAAAATCAGACATAAAAATACAAAAAAGTGTTACAGTGCACTTATTTACTGAAAAATTACTTACTTTTTCATTTTGTCTGTATGAAATTTTAGTTTGTACTGACTTCGCTAGTGCTTTTTATGTATCCTGTTATAAAACTAGGCAAATATCTAGATGAGTTGATGTATTCCCTGGAAGATCTCCGTGTACACGGACCCCTGCTTGAGAACCACTGCCCTAGGTAGTCACCTGTGATTATTTTCAGCAGTGTTACTCAAATCTTTGAGGTCTAAATCAATTTCTTTTGTTTCATCCTGTAAAATGACCCACAACCTTTGTAAGCACTGGGTGAAAACCAATGGTTGTAAGATTAACATAAATTTCACTTACAACTGTCTCCTTGGCAGGAGGCGGCTTGCTCTGTTGACTGGGTATCAGCACAAATGTCAGAGTGCCATGCATGTCAGCCTGTAACAAAAAACAAGACTCCAGTAATCTACAACATAAATACCAGACTGATTGTTTGAATTAGGGATTCCAATAAATAACATTTACTGTTTTCAAAGTGCAATACAAATTCCAAGAAAATCCAGGCCCTATAATCAAATGCATCATTATATCATTATGTGGGTTAAGATTTATAATGATCCCAATATACATGCATTACTACAGAAAAGTGACATAGTAAGGAAGACTAAAGAGCTTGAGGCTGATCTTGTTCAATATCTTCATTAATGATCTGGAGGATGGCGTGGACTGCACTCTCAGTAATTTTGCAGATGACACTGAACTGGGAGGAGTGGTAGATACGCTGGAAGGTAGGGATAGGACACAGAGGGACCTAGACAAATTAGAGGATTGGACCAAAAGAAATCTGATGAAGTTCAATAAGGACAAGTGCAGAGTCCTACACTTAGGACGGAAGAATCCTCCGCACTGCTACAGACTAGGGACTGAATGGCTAGGCAGCAGTTCCGCAGAAAAGGACCTAGGGGTTACAGTGGACGAGAAACTGGATATGAGTTGACAGTATGCCCTTGTTGACAAGAAGGCTAATGGCATTTTGGGCTGTATAAGTAGGCGCATTGCCAGCAGATCGAGGGACGTGATCATTCCCCTCTATTCGACATTGGTGAGGCCTCATCTGGAGTACTGTGTCCAGTTTTGGGCCCCACACTACAAGAAGGATGTGGAAAAATTGGAAAGAGTCCAGCGGAGGGCAACAAAAATGATTAGGGGGCTGCAACACATGACTTACGAAGAGAGACTGAGGGAACCGCTTATATCTCGCAGGCAGACGGTGACACAGCAGAGAGCTTTG